GGGAGATAGACTGCAGAATCTGGAAAAAAATATAGTAGTAATATTTGACTTTTTGATCCAGATCAATGGAATTATTCAAAAAATTATTCCTGGAAAAAAAGGACGGCAAGTTTTAAACCCACTCGAGTCTTTCTATTAGTCTAAAGACATAAAAAATGAAAACATGGTAAAAAAGCGGAAGATCCCAATTAATGGCAACTGCTAACAGAATCCTGACACACTACGCTTAACTATAAATTAAATTTACGAAACAGAAGGAGTAAATATATAGCACTGCAACAAAAAAAAACGAAAATTGGACTGATTTTTACAAATTTCGTACTATCTCTATGAAAACAAAATAAATTACCTGCAAACATCTCGACACTCTTGACAGATGATATCGCAAGCACATATCAATTTCTGCATTCCCAGTTGCAGTTCCTTTTGTATCATCATCGGGGCTTTCCCAGAAGCGATCACTTTCTAAGTACATTTGCTCCAACTCTGCTGGGTCCAACATAGCCCCAAGTGATTTTCGTCGCTCTTTCATCTGAAGAAGTAGACTTGGAAGGGAACGTATTGAAAAAGGTAAATGAGGAGGCCTACCTGTCGGAAGCGTTTGCCATCTTTGCGTCCTCCTCCGCTCTCGCCGTACTTCTTGCGCATGCCATCACTTACGAAGGGAGAGTAGCGTTGACGCAGGGAGTCAATGCCGCTGTCGTTTTCGGAGCTGAAAATGGGGTTTTTTTTCTAAGTTTCAGGATTAAGGATTAGGAGCGGAGGGCGAATATTAGAGAGATCCTAAATGCTTAGCAACGAAAACTCACTGCATATCTCCAGCAATCAGCACATTATCGTCAAGCTCCTCACTTGCTGTACTTGGAGTATGGAATAGCGAAGAACGAGTTAGCGAACTCCGACGTTGGCTATACTTCTAAAGGAAAAAAAAAACTAAAATTTTCGAAAATTTGGCGCTCAATAACCCATTTAGTCCCAAAAATAGAATTACAAAGTGACCAACCCGCAGTACACTTTGCCATTGCTTTAGTGTTTCCACAAGCGACTGTAGCTCTGGATATTGGGTTGAAGCAAGCCTATCCACCAATGGCACCAGACCATCAGCCGTCTCAAGCATTTCCGATGAAGAGGCAGATTTATCACTGCTGGTCTCGGATGGTGTGGCACTGCC